AACTTTTTTAGATTTTTCTACCTGGATTATTGAGCATGCATCAGGATGTTAAGAAGTTACTACTAAAAAAAAAAAAACTTTAGATGTAAACATAGTTAAAATCAACATTTCAACCAAAATGCATGAAAAAAAACCGAGACATTTAAACTTAAAAAAGCAATAAGTACAATGTTGAAAATATGATTTAAGTCTATAAAATAACACTCATGAAGAATTAATACTACACTTAGTAATAAATTACTGTTGGGGAAAAAAGTTGCAGTATTTTTATTGGTCACTGGAGGGCGTGCTGCCTTACTTGTTGGTCAACAGGCCGAACCTAGGACTCCTTAGAGCAGAGTATAAGTTGAGAAACAGAAGAGTAACCAGATGAAAGGAATTTTGCCAGAGGAAAGTAACAGGAATTATAAATGGGAGCAGCTTTAAGGAGCCAATGATGAACAGCTTGTGCAGTAACAGCCTGTAAAAAGTCAGGAGGTATTTTCATGAGCCTGGGGTGTTTGTGAGCCTGTGTAGGGGGTGCAGCCCTGGCTCTGAATGAAACCGGGCCTGAACATATGCAAACCATTCAGTGAGGGGCTGGGGAAGGGGCTGGTTATGTTGTATAAGTGATGTTTGTTGGGGGGCTCCTCTAAAAGAATGCTTAGTCATGCTGATTATGCATTTTACTTTGCTCAGCTTGAACAAGACAACAGTTCTACAAACATGTTTTTAAAGCTTTATTTTTATGTGGAAATGTTCATATTCTGTTTACCACTAAAGCAGCATGCTTCGAGTGATTTAGATATAAATATTTTTATTTTTATTTAAAAAGGCACATCCTTCAGGTCAGATTTGTTTTGTTTTTACCGTTTGTGCACACTTTCCCAAAAGTAGAGTACACTTTTAGCCATGATTTCATTCACTTGTCGATGTACTGAGACAAAAATAAACACATTATATCCTCTTCAATAAACCAATTACCGCACTTTACAATTGAGCACTTTTATAATTAACAAGTAAAACAAGAGTTCTTTAGCCTGGTGCACTATCCTGATAAACTCAGTCCATGTGCAATTTCTATGGCAAAGTTTCAGACTTTTTAAAACTTGTATCTTAAGACTTCTCAACTAATTTCCAGGCAAAACTCCACAAATGATGGAGATCAGTCAATACCACTTCTAAAAAACAAAAGGCTTGTGTTTCTAATGAGTGAGTTTATAGGCACATTTCATGGTTCAAGCCATTTGTCAGTCATAATGTCAACATAATGTTCATTTAGTAAAACTATGCTCCCATTTAGAGTAAATCTAAAGAGTTAGAAATTTATATTTTATATTTTAAGAAAAGAAGAGGTAGGATAAATCTGGCCATGCAAAGGTTTCTCCACTCTCTGATTTTTCTTCTTTTTTTTTACTTACACAGACCTGAAAAATACTAAACCCTGAACTGCAAAAGCAGGTAAAGAAAATGACTGACTAACTAAAGGGCGGACAAATACGTTTTTGCACTGATAATATCAGATACTCCTGATTTAGCTTAACTTCCAATGAGGTAAATCACATCACCTCAAGTTACTCAAGCTTCCTGTTACAAAAGCCACCTAAAACTTTGGGCAGATCACAGGAAACTCATAAATAGAGCTCCACCAATATATCGGTAGGGCCAATTTAGGCGTTCGGGGACATACTGGTATCTGTGATAATTATGCGCCACTATAAACACTTCTAATTTACACCCCTAACATACAGGGAACAAGCCGTGTCCTTACTTGCAAATGGAGTAATTGTACAATGTATACAGCAGAGGGCGCATGCAGACTACTTCTCCTACTCTGCTCCTGTTTCCTGGAATATCTTGCAAAAAGATCTGAAGCTCTTGACCTTGACCTCTCTATAAGTGGCTTCAAACGTCTGGAAAAGTTAATGGCAAAAACCAATACAGACATGTTCCTGTTTTTAGTATCCTACATCACTTTACAACCTAGCTGTTTTTGGTTTGTTTTTTAATACCATTTTCTTTTATTTGTTCTTCTCAATTTGTCTCATTCTTTTATGATAGTCTACTGTTGTCATCACTCTGTTAAAATCAGGTCTCTCTTGTAAACGAGTCCCAGAGGCTCAATGGGATTAACTTGTATAAATAAAGGTTGAATGAATGACCATGCTGCACAATTGACTCACAGCACAGCCAAAGCAGGGAGCAATACTGTGTAGCGTATTTTGCTGAGCAAAGCATGGCAAGTTTATTGTAACAGATCTGATAATAATTTAAAAAAAAAATTAAAATAAAAAAATCAATAATAAATTATCTGCAATCCTCCAACCCGCTTGTCATTAGCTGTGTGTCTCTCAAGTTAGCAAGCTGTTTAGATAACCTAGCATATTGCCATGTAAAACTTTATCCAGAACAATAAATCTAACAAAGAGGTAAAACATATAAGTGTTAATAATGTAATCATTGTCGTCCTCAATGAAATGCAGTGTGTCTGAAATCTTTACTTCTCTGCAAAGAAAAAAAAGCAGCTGCTGCAGTCAATACTAATTAGGCATTCACCATATGTGGCTGTTTAAACAATGAACAGGGAAGAGTGTTTCTTTGTTTAATTTATATTTTATAACACACTTGATAACTTTATGGTGAATAGTGGAGGATAGAAAATATGAACGCACATGAGGAAGACTGTTTTTATGATCAGTGAACTACTTGTGGGACTAGGTATAGAGTGGCTCTGATTTGCTTAGCTTCATGGTTGCTAACAGCTGTGCTAAATAAACAAGTCCACTCGCTGTTTTTTTAGATTCTTGGGGGTGGACAAAGCAAAAAGTAATAATTCAGCCAGTATATGTTAATGGCATTAGCCTTCCCCTCCCAATATCGGTATTGATGACAGCCAAAATTTCACATCGGTCAGGCTCTACTACTAAAATCCAAACACTTCATAATTATGTCACACAATAATAAACACTGCAATAAAAATACAATATTTGTATGGGAAGCTGCAAAAGTCACAATGTGACAAAACATAATTCTGCATTTTTAAAGACAATAAATGGGAATCATTTTAATAATTTTGGTAATTAGTCATTTGTGATCAAAATGTGGTTTACAGTAGTCCCTCGATACTTCACGGTTCATTTTTCGCGGACTCACTCGATCGTGTTTTTTCAAAATAAGATTGGACATGACACACAATTGGCTGATTGATGTATGAGATGCACAATCGGCATGGAATTTTTATTCAAAATAAATTATTTTAAATTACTTAGCACTTGTGTGCAGCCCAAGCTTCAGAAAAAGCTTCCTCCTAGCTGATCAGCTGATCTCTGTGCAGAGTGGAGAAGTGGGCGTGGCCGAGAGTGCAGTGAGGCAGGGAGCTGAAATCATGACATGCTGTGCTCATATAGAGCGTTTAGAGTTTAGAAACATTGTTTAGAATATTGCAAGAGTGTGGGAAGGGCTTAAAACACCTTAATATATATGTATATATAAATACTAAAATAAACTACTACTTACTACTTGTACTACTATTCCTACTTGGCAGTTTTTCACTTATAGCAGGGCTTCAGGGTACGGATCCACCACGATAAACGAGGGACTACTGTACACAGTAGATCACAGTTTTAGAGTCAAACTCAAAAGGCACACTGTGTGAAAGAGAAAAGTGGAGTGGAGTCAAGTTTCTCACTCCACCTTCTAAAACTTGCTGCTGTGAAAAAAAAAAGCACCTAAAGATAGAGCCTAAAGTTGTACAGCAGCCTGTTGTAAATCTTTCAAAAAGAAGTCTTCATGCTGGCCGAGAAACTTATTTAAATGGTAACGCACACTTTATAACCTACTAATTGCTTAGTAAATTTGAAAAAAAAAACGTACAGGAAACAAAAATGCAAGAAAAAAAAATATCTCGCTGGAAGTGAGCATCAGTAAAGAATTATGATTAATCAAACTATAAATGAAAAAAATAACTAATCTCTTCTCTGTCTATTAAAAGCTGAAGACAGAACAATGGTCATTTGTGATGACCACAAAAACAGCAAACATGTCTGGTATTCAAAACTCCCTTGAAACGCAGAACTTCCCTCATTCCAAGAGTGAGAAAACCAGCATTGTTTTTTTTTCCGTTGTCAATATAAACAGAGGTTCTTTTTTATTTTTTTATTCTTGCATTTGTGTTTTAAGTTTTTTATTAATTTTCTCGTTTTCTTTAGATTTACAAGCTCTGCTGGCTATCCTAAAGACCACAAACACAGAGTTAACAGGAAACTGGTGAAAAATATAGAAAATTCTGTTTACTCTGTAGCCCCAGACTTTACAGAATGGATCCTAAGATCATTTTAACAGAAAACTATATGAATGGAGTACATTTATTTCTTTAATCGTCAGTTTTGCCTTGATGTTCTTCTTCTTTTTTTTTACACTGTGGTCAACCAAATGTCCTCTTTTTATTTGCTGAGCCTTACAAATAGTTTCTGCTTAGCTATACAAAAAGTGATCTTAACCAATCAACTTCTTATCATGACAAAACCAGCATCCGTCTAGACGATGCAGCATGCACACGAAACAAAAATCTATTTTTATAGATTGACACATAAAGGTGCCATTAGTCTGTCTACCTTGTTGGTGTGAGGGTTAAGCATGAGAGGCTTCCCTTTTTCTTTGGTGTGTGTCCATCTGCAAACAGAGACGTGAGGCATCAGACACCAAGTTGTCCTTAACTTGGACAGCATGGCGAAGTACCACAGGTCTGGAAGGTCAGCAGGTTGGTTCTGTGGAAAAACAAAACAAAATGTTGATCTGTGAATACCAGTTTAGAAAACGTGATTCACCATTTCCCCTACCATTATTCAAGGAGGGCGCCCCGCCCTGTCAACAGAACAGAGCGCCCCGCCTACAAAATCCCTCACATCCCACTGCTCTGCCCAGACAGGGGGGCGGAGTTTAACAGCTCAACTGACTCCAAACTGCATGCAATACAAACGTAGAGCTCCGCTATACTCCCCACCCATTCGTCAACAAATGCCGGCACTAACACGCAATACAGATGCAGCACTCTGCCCCCCCCCCCCCCAGTATTTCCCCTATACAAGCAGGGTACCCAGCCCCGTCAACAGAACAGAGCGCCCTGCACACCGAACTCCCCACCCCTGACAACTGTTGGCATTGATGTGTGCACAATACGAACATGCTAGCAAAAATGCTAATGACGTACTGCTTGGCTTCTGCAAACCCCCCCCCCCCCCCCCCCCAACTAAGCTAGCAGGTAACACAGATGTGACTCTGTCCTGTACTCCTCTTACCCACCCGACAATGGAAAAAAAAAAAGGACGACAAGCGCCCTGCCAAGGGAGCTGATCTAGGAGAAACACTGCACACACCCACGTCGAGAACTGCAAACTGCCACCACTACTGTAGTGCTATGTGCTATGGTTCCCCCCCGGTCGTCGTCGACAAAAACCCCGAAGAGACGAGCGCCCACCCAAGGCAAGTAACCTAGGGGAAACAATGCATTTACATTAGCTTTTAAGACGTTTAAAAGTTTGTAATTCTGTCAGTGAGAGGTGATTTAATCTTGTTTCTGATAATACCTGAAGCACGAAGTGGCAACAATCTTTGATTATATGACATCTGATCCCAGTAACAGCTTGACACAACATAAGGCTGTCAGTAATGTTGAGTATCAGTCTAACAACACACCCACAAACAAAGCTGACGGAATCACCTACAGAGATAAGCTGCCAAAATCTTTGGCATTGGCAGCCAAAGAAACTAACCCAAACTTTGAGTATTCTGGTGAAGTTGACCCGATTGGAGGGCACATCCCCACCCGTTGATTGGCAACACGCAGTAAAACATCATCTGTGAAGTGCTGTGTGCTGCAGGCTGGACCTGTGGGAAATTATCAGGACACCTAGACAACCCAAAAAAGGCTTTGGAGGCCATGTTGCAACCAAAGATGACCAGCCTACCCAAGCCATATTTAAGCTATTTATGTGCAAAACTCAGCTAAACTATTTGCCACAACGATGAATAGCCAGGAAGGGGCACAGGCAACATAATTCAGTTGATAAGACAGGCCATAGCAGTTTGTCAAGAGCGCCAACCTCAAGATGCAGGACGAGACAACCAGCAGTTAATCAAGTACTTCCAGAAGCTTCAGCTGAAGAATGTAGAAGTGACAGAAAACGTTTGTGTGTCGTTTGCTGGAGAATTCAACCCTAAAGTACAAATGAAAGTTTCTGGTCCTGAAGGCATGGAGTAGCTGAATGTTCAGTTTGCATGGACAGTCCTCATGAGGATTACACTGGTTGTGTTGTTCTGTGTTGAATGCTGAGACAGACCAGTTAAAGGATCCCTTTCGTTTATTGAAGAACCTTAAAATCCACTTGTGCAAACGCAGCCAGTAAATAATGGACAATGTACAAAGCTAGTTTGACACAAATAAGTTGTTGTCTTGAGTGTTAAACACATGTCAACAGGGCAGACTGCTTCAACATCAAACAGTTAACAGGACCATGACAGAGGTGAAGACAAAATGATTTCTCCTGAGCTGAATTTTTCATCCATTTTAGTTTTAGCTAAAATTTACGAGAGCTAGACGAAATGCAGCTGAGACATGCAAAAGTTTTTTTGACAGTATAGCAACCAATGTTTCCACTTCCTTGAACCGTTATAATGAAATATGTGAAAATGAAAAGCTTTATAAAACATAAACATTTATTAAACTGTTCTAGGACCTAAGTGATGTCTATATTGTCAGTGCTATTAAAAAAAACATTTAAAAAAAAGGCTGACATAGTGCAAAGGCTTAAGATAATATTATAGTCTTTAAAACAGATTGCAGCTGAGCTCAGGTGATAAACCAACTTTGACTTGTGATTTTGGCAGAACTATTAAAATTATCTGTGCCCTGAACAACTATAATTTGCCTTCAACCATTTTGCAAGATGAGAATTCAGCCAGAAGCAATTAAAATTCATCACTATTACAACATGAAGGCACTGTACTCTTCTGCAACTAACAAGTATTAAGTCATATTATAATGTCGAAATTTGTAGCCTTTACTGTAAAACCAATCTGCTTTTAAAGCTGTTCACCCTCTGACACAATTTAGTTAAAAAATCTGATCACACAATCATTTCACATAAGCTCTGTCTTGGGAGTCAAATGTTAACCAGTCTGTTCAAACAGCAATAAACATAACGTGAACCATAAAAACTTTTGTTCACACATAGTTTCAAAGTAATTTAATCGGTTACTTATTAATCCATTTCCAAACGAATATTTTAGACAGTATCTGACACAAAATGTAAGTGCGTTTATGCAGATACACAAAATAAGAGTTTTATTGGTTAAAGCAGTAATCTAACCTGACTGTGACCTTTTTTTTTTTTTTTAAGCAGAAACAGTAAAGCAGCTAACTAGCTAACTAACTAACTAACTAACAAGCTAACTCTCGCGCTGGGAGGACATGTCCGTTATTTCAATGATACGTTTCATTTTGTGTCAGCAAAAAAAAAAAAAAAGGACCACATTCTCCATCTTGTTAAGCAAAAACGAAAACAGCTCTCCAAAACAAACCAGGTTTACCCCGACCGAGGAAATAGCTCAGGGGCGCTGCTAATAATAATTCAGACCCTCAGCTGCTCCACGGAACATGAGACAAACTATGGAGACAACCGACTCGGTTTACCTGCCGTAAAAAAACGTGGCGATGCTGCTTTTTCTTCTTCAAATGTCCACAGTGGAAGTTTATCATATATTAGCGATGAGCTTGGGTGGGCGGCTGCAAATGTCACAGACGAGTGATGGTCTGAGAAAACAGGAAAAGCTGCAGCCTCTCAGCCAATCACAGACCGGGATTCCTGCAGCCGCTGAGCCAATCACAGACCGGGATTCCCTTCAGTTACCGTAAAGACCCAAAAAGGCGCGAGACGTTTTGTAAGCGATATTACGGTATCACACATAAACCGTTATACGGTAGCCTAGATAAAACGAAAGAAAGAAAAAAGAAAGAACAACTTGTCTAACTATTTTATTAATTTCCCAACAAAATATTACAATGCAAAGTGATCAATATTGACAATTAAAATCACCAGCATTTTTTTTAATACATAAAGCTGCTGCCTTGAAGCATGATCAGACTATAAGTACAAAAAGGGGCCACATAAATGTCAATTTCACAAAGAGTTACATATTAAAAACATTGTTTAGGCAAAATGCATAGCCGTACATAAAAGAGGGCATATGTTACATTCAGCCAGCTGGAAGCATTGAAGTGTACTGAGGCACATTTTTTAACAGAATTAAGAAAATGGACTCGAGCTCGGTTGCCACTTATGTTGCAGTATGTTTGCCACGTAGTATCGTTACTGCTGCAGAGAATGTGCTGCAAGCATAACCATAAAATATGTATTAAAAAAAAATCTGACTGCAGCACATTTAAATTTTTGCAACTAGCTTAAATATTTAGAAACTTAGTGTTTGTACTTTTCTGACCAATTAATCCAGGTTCTGAAGAAGTACACCATTGGCAATAAATGATTATAAAATATTTCCATCTTTGAGTTGAAATGAAGAATACTTAGAGTTGTAAATATACATGTGTATCATTAAAAATTCTTATATGAATTTTTTGAAGTTTAGTTTTCTGCTGTATGACAAGCTGAAGGCTGCAGTTCATGTAAAAACAGTGCAAGTTTTATGCCTGTTAGGGGATGTAAAGGAGCTTTACGGGTTTTAACTGTTGACTATAAAATAGTCAAGTACTGATAAGCATGCATATTAGATGGAGAACTGAAGAACTGTAAAATATTATTGTTTTAGTAGCAGTGACATTTGATTGCACTACTGGCCTGTAGCTCCAGAACCTAAGCAAATGTCTCATGTACATGTTTAGGCATTGTTGTATGTGGAAAAAGTTCATATTTCCCAACTGTTAAGAACCACAAATACATGCAAAAACATGATTCCATTCAACTGAGAGATTCTGAATACCAAAATGTTTAACATTGCAATCAGCTGCAGCATTCTGGGACAAAAAAGCATTTAAAAACTTTATTTCAACAGATTGTGTGGGTTTGTGGAAAAGTTATGAACAATTAAAATCTTACCATTTGTATTGAATGGTCTAGATTTGGAGAAATGGAGTTAAATTCTGACAGGAGTGACAAGCTAATGGATAATCCAAGAAAAGCCCAAACCAAAATGAATGACTCCATCTATCCATCTATCAATCCATCCATTATCTTTACCTGCTTCTTCCTTTTCTGGGTCATGGGGGTTCACTGGTGCCCATATCCAGCAGCCACTGTGTGAGAGGCGGGGGACACCCTGGACAGGTCTCCAGTCCATCACAGGGACACACAGAGACAAACGAGATAAACAACCATTCACTCTCTCACTCACACCTAGGGACAATTTAGCGTTACCAATCAGTCTAACGTGCATGTTTTTGGTCTGTGGGAGGAAACTGGAGTACCTGGAGAAAACCAAGGCATACATAGAAAAAATATGCAAACTCCACCAAGAAAGTTACCTGGCTGGGATTTGAACCAGCAACCTTCTCGATGAGGGGCAACAGCTCTACCACCTGAGACACGTGCCGCCCAAAATGAATGACTGTCTCCTCAAACTGCACATGTGGGTTCATTCATGATAAACCTTTTTTTACTGTCCTCGTATTTACATTGTACTGTAAATTACATATCCATTCATGGTTATTAACTATGCAGAATTGATGATGGCATATATGTTGATAAATAGTTTTTCAATTAACTTCTATGACAACTTTAAAATTTGAGTTATTTTAAAGTAGCAGTCACCTACTTTGGTCTTGGCCTTGCTGGAAGTAGTTATTAGCTCATTAATCTGGTCAGAATTAATCCCCATCATTCCAATCCAAGGTTGCTCAAACAACTATCTACAGCAGGTAAGATATTTGTTTATAACCTTTCCACAGAACTCCACCTAAAAATATTTGAGCTACCCCATGCAATGTGGATTCACAGCATCACTGAGAACGTCTCTGTATAAATATATTTCTGAAATGCTGGTAAAAAAAGAACCAACTTTCTCCAAAACAGAGATTGCTGTTATTGGTGTTAAAGCTTTCTGTGACATTCATTTAGGTAAGCAGGTGGATAGCTAGAAAACTGTACTTTTTTTCCAGTGGAACGCAGAACATTTTTAGAAAAATCAAGCAGCAAAAAACGACTAATGATCAAAACAGAGCCAAGCTGAAATTATAATAATAACAACAATAATAATTATTATAATATTAATAATAAATTACTTCCATCAAGCTTTCAAATAGAATACTTACAACCTGATTGAAATAGAAAGAATGTGTTCTGGTGTTTAGCCACAAGAAAAACACACTTATACTGAAATATGTGTTTCTATATTAGAAAATTAAATATGAAGGACATGTTTACATGGCTCACTAAATTTAGTATGTCAGTGTTATAGTGTTTATACAGCAATAAATAAATAAAGATGAGAAGTGTGATTAGTTTTCAGTTGATACATTCAAAGCTACTTGGGAGAATCAGATATTGTGTCACGAGCAGAAATTTAGTGAACGCCACCTTTGGAAGACTGATAGCCATTTTGATTACTTTAAAAAAATTCTTGAACAGAAAAACAAATTTAAAGCCAGCTTTAAACACATGAGGGTGCCCTTCTCAAACTGCTGTCGCCAGTGACCTCAGATGTTTGCGTAACACAGTAAGTCTAGTCTCATCGATCCCTGGATTCATTCTGGTGGTTTCTATATGCTGTATTTGGGATTATTTATACCCATGGCCTTCAAATGGCCGAGAGCATCTTAAAGCAAAGGTTTATATGAAGGTTTCTCACAGTTTTTGGCATGTCTTTACAGTCAGACCAAAAAGACAAAAGCTGCTACAGTCAAATGTTTAAGCAGTCGTCCATGATAGAGTTTCATCAATAAGCTTTGGGAGGTGCTATAATATTATCCTGTGTGGAACCAGAAGCTGAAGTGAAGCATCAAGAGTTGGGGGTCTGTGATGGTGGTGGAGTTCTGTGCTCTGGAAGTCCAGGTACCTGAATGTTTGACGTTTTGCTTTCTTCCATCCACATTCCATCTTGTCCTTTCTTCCCGTTAACGTTGTCCTTACTCTGCCGACAAAGTTTCAGCGCTTGGGATATAAACACATCCAGGTCAAACAAACGCTCTTTTTGCTTGACAGGCAAAGACTCCATGGAGTCTGTGTTCGCTGAGGAGGGCGTAGAGGAAAGAGGGTGAGATTCAAGGAGCCCCACAAGTGGTGTAGATGTGGGGGACACTGGTTGAGGAGAAAAAGGAGATGTGGGAGATGAAGGGAAAATGGACGGAAGAGTGTTAGAAGAAGATGTGAATGGAGGAAGGTAGCTCAGTCGGTCCGATTCATATTCAGCTGACGGCTGCTGCACAACTTCCTTCATGTGGAACACCAGAGACGGGTGGTCAGTAGGAGAGAGTGGGAGAGGGGGGGACGAGGTGTAGCAGGAGGGTGAGGATCGCTCCATTGAAGGGCTGGGACTGGGCGAGTGCAGACGAGACTGAGTGGTCTCCACCCAGCGAGAGATTTCCTGGAACAAATCCCCTGTTTCCTCCATTTCTTCCTCTTTTGCTTCCTTAATCTCCCCCAGGTCCTCCATACTGCCACCGATGGTCTCAGCAGGCAGGGGGTGTCTGCTACTGTTTTGCTTCCAGTGAGACAGATCCAGAATCAGCTTGGGCTCTGAGTAGTGTTGAGGTTTTCCCTCCCTCCAGGCGATTTTATCCAGATAAGAAGGAGAGCCCACTTTGTAATCACAGGAGCGACCACAGTCCAGCTCCCCGTACCCCAAACCACAAACTCGTTCCAGAGAAGAATGGGAGTTCCCCAGGAAGCGCTCAGCTGAGCTGCTGTGGGAATATTTCCGGGGGTCAACCTATTCGAGACAAAAGTCAATTAGAAACTTGATGCTAAATTGATTAACCACATAGTGTGTTATCCTGATGCATGCTCACATAGCGTGTTGCTTTGACTGATCCAAATTTGTTTCTAAAGCCCTAATTATGCTGTTCATAACATTCATTACAAGGTGTTTTATCAAGTTTGCTTTAGTATAATAAATATCTTCTTAATAGGGTTTATTGATGCAGCACTCTTTGCCTTTAAGCTCCGGAACTTTGGCAAATGTGGTTAAAGCTTAATCGTCGTCATTATCGCTATGGTAATGTGGTTATTGAAAATGGTATAAACCAGTTAAGAATGGGCAAAAGAACAGAATAAATCCAACCTGAGCCTCTTCTGCCACCGGGCTGGAATTGATCCGGGGGTCCCTTTGCACTTCTTCATTATCTGTGGTGTCTCCCAGGTCGGACAGATTTTGACCAGGAGGCATGCAGCGGCACTTCCCCCATGAATGTTGCCAGCATATATTTGTTGATAAACTGTTATCATACCTGCAGAAAGAAAAAAAATAGTTTGTCAGTCTAGAATAGTGAACATCTCAACGTATATAAAAATCACTTAAAAACTTGATTAAATAAAGTGGCATGAACTGTAAGGCCAAAGACATGCAGGTTGCAAATGCAAGAAACATTCACTGTATGCTACTCGTTATCAATTTTATGATAAAGCTACAGTTTTAGACTAAACTATAGCTTAAGGACATTCTTGAAAGTTACATATATGGTAGAATAAGAATAATAAGCACATTGGGATCAAAATAGTAAGTGAATAAGCTGTGCCTCAATGTTTTTGCACAGCATGGTCTGAGAAATTTATGTTTAAATTGACGAAAAACAAACAAATCTGAACAGAGTTTTGGTTGCATCACTTAAAAACTAATAATCTGTATAAGCTTGCTATAAAAATGATTGATCCCACACACACACACACACACACACACACACACAAACACACTAGTATCTGCACCTTTCCCAGTAAAAGCTGGAAGTCTGACTGCTCAGGCTCTGCTCAGTGATCAGGCTGTCCAACTCATCCTCAATGTGGAAGGGATGTGACGATGTGGGCTCGTCTTCGGGGCAAGAGTACTTCTGAAGGAAGAGGTGGGACAGGGCCTCTTCAGCTGTCAGACGATCCATAGGGTTAAAGGTCAAAATACACTCCAGAAAGTCCACAGCTGGGAAGAAGAGAAGGGACAAAACTCAAATGTCAGCCGCTCAAGTGTTCTCCTCTTCCTTTGAAAGCTCTGCACTTCACCTTTTCAGCTTTTGTGCAACACTTTTATAACTTTTTGTCTTTTTCTATTCACTTTTGTATTCTCAGCACTCAGTTCCTTCCTACTCACCCAAAGCATCCACTTCAGGCAGTAGCTCAGAAAAGGGTTTCTTGACTTTCCATCCATTACTGACGTATGAAGGCATCACCTAGACGAACATATTGCATACTGTTATAACAGTGATTAGAAACAAAGGCTTTAATTTTTTTTTTCGTTTTTCTCTGTACACATATGGCATTATATAAAAAAAATGCTTTCTACTTTTGCAGTCACATAACATCTGGTTATAGGCTGCAGACGTGGCTCGCAGCAGAAGTGTCACCTGCAGCAGATCCTGCCTGTCCTCCTCTCTCAGCACTGGCACCGTGTCGAGAATCAGCTGCATCTGTTCCAGCTCGTGAGCTCCTGGGAGAAAGAAGCAGCCGATCAGAGATCCAGCCCAATAAAAGATAAGATAAAATAAATACAGTCAAGCAAATACAACTGGTGTGATCTGTCAAGAGACAGAAGTTAGAAAAGTCTGTGGAAAAAGGTCCAGACAAGTTAGTTTTCTGAAGTTCACTGTTCCATTCTGCCTAGATATAATTATATATTTTATAAACATGGTTATAAATCATAAAAGTTATGCAGGTAAATGATTAACTTTAGGACTATTCATCTCAAACTGTCAAACATGCTCACCAAAATGTTCCCATCAGCTTAAACACCACCATTTTTTGTTACTATACATGCTGCAAAATATTAGATGCTGTCATGTTCAGCTCCAAGAAAAAAGACCACAGGTTTGTGTTTTTTTTTTTTTTCTTTTCTTTTCTATCAGTTGACAGAGAGCAAATATTTTGTTAACATGCACGCAGTGGTGTAGTCTACATTTTTTGTAGTGGGTATACTGTGCTTAGAAACCAAGGTACTCCAGTGAGTACAATCTATTTTGATTTTTAAGCATATTGAACCTTTCACAATTTCTTTGATGCTTATATTTGAATAAATGTACACCAAACTTTGTACAACAGTTGGCTTTGTATTAAAACATGTTACAGAATTAAAACAGTATCAAAGCAATACATGTTCAAGTATTAAGTAGTAAGTACAAAAGTATTGATTATACAAAAAAACAGGTTGAACCAACTCAAAGTGTTTATAAAATGTTTAAAATGTGTTGACAATGACATCATCCATGTATCATTGCCAATGATAAGTGACATTGGGCACTTTTAAGTGGGTATACTGAAATTCCCAAGCTTTTCTAGTGAGTATACTCCATATACATGTACTCGCATATCGCATAGAGTACACCACTACATGCACGGTCTGTGAAAATTTCCACTTGATGAACAGCAGCAACTCCTGACTGTGAATTTCCATTTTAAATGTTTTCAAGGCAGCAGCAGGTGGTGCTGTGGCCACGCTCCACTCACTCGGAGGAATAAGCAAACTACACTTTGCTCCAAGTCCCAGTGGTAAACAACACAAAAATGGAGTGAGCTGTATACGTTCTTTGTTGAGTGAAAGGTGAGAAAAACACCTCCGACACCTGATGTGTGAGAGTCTCTCTCACAGGACCACAGGAGAGAAGATGGCCCCTCTGAGTTTCTGATGTCAGCATCGTGGGGAGAGGGATGCTGGAGGTCAAAGTCAGTTTCTCAGATGGAATTACATTTCCTTCAGACAAGAAAGTATCTCTCAATCATCATTAGTATTCTGGTCAGGTGAAGGCTGCAAGAGGAATGTAAAGTGTCTTTGGTGGAGGACACTCTCCTCTGTGATGCACTTTTAAGACTGTTTTTGTCTAAAAGTAATTAAGAAATGACTTTTTTTTCCCTTCTTTATTGCAACTAATTTGTGCATCTATTAATTTATTCAGTTGTATTACTTTTATGCATTAGTAAAGTATCCACAGTGAGGTTTCATAAGTACCTGCAAACAGCATGCGTCCAGTGAGCATCTCAGCTAATATGCAGCCGGCCGCCCACATGTCTATGGCCTTGGTGTAATTATTGGGGGACAGGAGCAGGCGGGGGGACCGATACCATTTAGTGACCAAACCCTCGGACAGGTAACCCTGGGGAAGAGTCGGATGGATAGAAACAAATAGGGAAAAAAAGTACAAATTTGAGTCATAAAACAGTGTGATGAACAAGCAACAGATTAGATGGAAATCAGCATTTTAAAAAATGTTGACATTGGGGATTTTTTCAGACATTTAAATTAGAAGTTTTATCAATAATAGTACAAAAACTGAAAGACTGCATTTAATGCTAGCAACGTATTAAATCTACATTTTAAGGTAAGGAAAACAACTAAATGTTTCCTTTATTCTATTTTATTTAGAATTTCATTTGCGCAGCAGAATTAAAACTATTCTTTTTTTGTTTCTGTTTTCTTATGAACCAAAAGTCATCAGTGGTTCATATATAATTTTCAACTGCAGGAGAATTTGTTTAGCACCCAGACTTAATTAGAAGCCATGCAGCTGAAACCAACAAAGTCCATGCTCAATAATCCAGGTATACAATCCAACAATTTTCACTCAAGTTTGATTGTATACCTGGATTATTGAGCATGGACTTTGTTGGTTTTGAACCAGTTTGTCATGACTGTCGATGAGGGAGAGGGCCTGCACCAGAGGAGGGGGGCGTGCCAAAGACACCATCTTAGCATCAACATAACTGGTTTGTTCCACTTTGGAGTAAGCTGTTGGGAGAAGAATCAGTTTTGTGTTGTGTGCTTCCTTAACTGATGAAGCCTTCTGGATGGAAGTTGAAATATTTCAGAAAAAAAAAAGAAGCTGTCCAGATGACCTCACTGAAAATTGTTGGCATGCAGCTGAAACTACAGAAATTATTTTTTTCTGCATAAATGCAGCGTGAATGTTGAATGTTGAATGCTGAAATACGCTGAAGAACGTGATTTTTTTTTTTTTAGAGGTGTTAAAGTTAAAATGAACCATAACACTAAGCTAAAATGCGAAAAGTCTAGCTAAACGCTAAAACTAGCCAAGTTCTAGCTAAAAGCTAAAAGTTGCATAATACCATCAAAACTAAAAGTATCACAATGCTGGTTAAAATGTAAAATTAGCAAAATACTAGCTAAAACCTGAAAGTGGAAAAACACTGGCTAAAATGCAAAACAAATACAATACTAGCCCAAATCGAAAAGTAACAAAATGTTAAATTTAAAAAGCAGCTAAAACTTGAATGCAGCAAAGCATTGTTGAAAAGTAGTAAACTGGTGGCTAAAAGTAAAGCAGCAACTTAATACTAAAAGTAACGCAACGCAGTCAAAAAGCCAAAGTCACAAAAGATAAAAAATATTCAAGGTTCTTTATTTGTCATACCACATGTGGTACATGTGGTGGAACAAAATTGTGTACACAGGGTCCCAGTTACATATATACATAAATATACACATAAATATGGCAACTATGCTGAATTAGATTTCAGAAATTGATCTTACAGCTTCTTTTTTTTAATAAACAAGACATTCTAAAAGAAAAGATTGTATATAGCAAATCATTTACTGACTTGAATATGTCTTTATGTATTCTGTATATGTATATAATTGTTTTCCCTTTTTATTTTTTCAATGTTTCAGGATATTTATTGAGTAATTTAGTTTCAGCCTTTCATCCTTTGAGTTGAGGTTGTTTTGCCCAGCCTCACATAAAACACCACCTCGGACACCATACTGAGCAGCACAGGGGCTCCTCGGGAGACGGTCCTCTCGCTGTTTCTGTTCATCTCTACACCTCGGACTTCAGGTACAACTCACAATCCTGCCATCTGCAGAAGTTCTTGGATGACACTGCCATTGTGGGCTGCATCACTAGTTACCAAGAAGCTAAATACAGAGGTGTGGTGGACTGAACCACCTGCAACTCAATGTTGGAAAAACAAAAAAGCTGCAGGTGGACTACAGGAAGAAGACCAGCCCCCCAAGCCTATCAACATCAAGGGTACTAAGGTGGACACTGTGGATTGCTACAAGCACCTGGGGGTCCACCTAGACAATAAACTGGACTGGACAGCTAACACCAACGCCCTCAAAAAGAAAGGGCAGAGTCGCCTTTTTCTTCTGAGAAGACTCGGGTCCTTTAACAGCTGCAGGACCATGCTGCAGATGTTTTAAATTCGGTGGTCTCCAGTGTCTTCTTCTACGCTGTGGTGTGCTGGGGCAGCAGGGTGAAGAAAGCTGATGCCAACAGACTCAATAAGATCATCAGGATAGCTGGCTCTGTTCTGGGAGTGGACCTGCAGTCTCTGACAGAGGTGTCTGAGCAGAGGATGCTGAGGAAACTTCTCCAGATCCTGAACAACACGTCACTCCCCCTGCACGACACCCTGGACTCTTACCGCAGCACCTTCAGTCGTAGACTGAGACCACTGAGGTGCTTCACAGAACAACACAGGAAGTCCTTCCTCCCTGTGGCTATCAAACCTTTCAACTCCTCCTTCTTTCTTCACACAGGACAATAAAATTAATCCTGCACCACAATAAACTCTTTGTTTCTGTCCACATCTGGCCTGTTATAGATCTTAACTGTCAGTGTTTTTATATTCTCTGTTATTTTTCATATCTTGTGTGATTCCTTTGTATTGAAACTCTGGCACAACAATTTCCTGGGGATCAATAAAGTTCTTATCTTGCTAAAGCTGACTATGAACCATTTTATAAGCCTTCACTTTGCCATTCATCCTTGTAGAAATGAGATATTGTTCTCACAATGGGGGCTATAGACTATTCTGTAGCCGTTTTTACGAACAACCCCTAAATTGTCCTTCGTTAATCCACTTGTAGCCTAAGTTTAGCTCTACACCAAGCAGAAGGTAGCTTCTCTCAAAATTAAATTTCAAGCCTGCTAAATCGGTTTCAGCACTTAACTGAAATGCCACGGCCTTTTCCATCTTTAGAGCTCCCAACGAAAAGAAAAAGTGTCTTGTTTAGGTGGAGATAAGCTTGTTGATCAGCAGATGGTGACTCAGAGAGTGGAATCGTTGTTGGCCACCTACACAAATGTTCCCTAACCTTTTACATCCATCAGTTTCAGCAGTGTGCCCCGACACAGCTCAGTTCTCTTTAAACCAGCTTTACTGGAAATGGAACACGGTGAGAAACGAGCTTCTCATTAGTTGCATGACAGCTGAGAATGAGAAGCAAGAGTCACTGTCACCTGCCTTTTATTGTCACAGTTGCTCTTCTATTCCTCTGTAACACTACATCATTATCTACTTTTTGCTCATTCTATCTCCATGCCTGATCTGTCTGATTCTGCTTTCTGTGCAACTTACTGTCTGTTCTCATTTTGTGTGGCAGCAGCTAACAAAGCAGAAACTGATGTTGAGCGCTCCGTGAAAGAACATCTGCTTCCAGCGTTTCAAAGATGTCAAAGTGCATTTTCAGGTGATCCTAATAAAAGTAACTGCAAAAGAAAAGTTTAGTTTTATAAATCAATCCAAATAAAGTTTTGATAATACAGAAGGTACTTCTAACCCTCCTAGCTTCTTGTCTATTAGTCTGCTGGAACAGTATTTTTTTAAACTTTCCTGCTTCTCTCACCTTCTTTTGCAGCTTCTCCTTCCTTGTTGTTTGACTTGCTACCCATGTTAAATACTCTGCCTCCCTATACTCATTTCACCTTTTCTTCCTCTCCGTCTTTAATCCAAAAAACATTCTGGACATCAGCAGGTGACATTCACACATGCAAACTCTCAGGTGGATCAAGTTCCTGCTGGTGTAAATGTGTTTTTTCTGACTCTGGTCTCCTCCCAGCTCTCTTCACTCAAGGTAAATGTTTGTTTGAAAGGCTTAATGCCAGATGACTGCCCACAAATCCTAATTTCAATGAACTGCAGTGTTAAGGTAACCTTGTAAAACACTGAGCAAGAAGATGGATGCTATAACAGAAGCACAATGTTGAAGTGATTAAAAACAGGAAGTTATGTAAAAACAAACAAACAACAAATGTTTCTGTTGAAGCTGAAATTAAATTAAATTAAATTTATCAGGACAAATGTGATAAAAGACTTATCTGAAAACAAAGAAAAATGCTAAACATCCATCCATCCATCTATCCATGCATACAAACATACATACATACATACATACATACATACATACATGCATCCATCCATGCATACATACATACATACATACGTACATATGTACATACATACGTACATGCATACATACATGCATCCATCCATGCATACATACAAACATATATACATACATACGTACATATGTACATACATACGTACATGCATACATACATGCATCCATCCATGCATACATACAAATATACATACATACATACGTACGTATGTACATACATACATACATACATACATACATACATACATACATACATGCATCCATCCATGCATACATACAAACATACATACATACATACGTACATATGTACATACATACATGCATACATGCATACAAACACACATACATACATACATACATACATACATACATACATACATACATACATACATACATACATACATACATGCATCCATCCATGCATACATACAAACATACAAACATACATACATACGTACATATGTACATACATACAAACATACATACATACATACATACGTACATACATACATACATACATACATACATACATACATACATACATACATCCATCCATCCATACATACATACATACATACATACATACATACATACATACATACAT